TAGAACAGTATGTAGCTGCAGAGATGTTGTTTCTTAAGGCTATGCTAATCGTTCACAATTCTCAAAAGTGAAGATATGCATTTACCAAGCTAAAGGCAGGCAAGCACTCACTATGCAGTTTTTGTGCAAATCACTCTTTCTTTCTTTCCCCACCTCCGCTTTTTTTGGCAACACAGTAAGTACAAAATAAATAAATACTTCCTCCCCCCCTATCTTGTAAGCTTTTCTGGTCTTTAAAACTATCCACCTTTAAAGGCTTCTGACAATCAAGTTTTCAGTTTATTTACTAAAATATATGCATTGATCTGTTGGAATCCAGCAAATGCCATTTGGCTTTTATATTAATTTATGTAATACTGGTAATAGTCACTGTTAAATATCTTATACATTCGTTCATCTCCTAAGTATTCTGGAGGCATTTACTTTTTTTTAACGAAAGACATACTTAAGACTTAAGAGTGGTGATCAGATCATCTTAATAATATATTTCAAATGGGGCAGGAAACCACTATCTTGGGTAGTATGCTGAAGACCACATTCAAAGAGTGGGGCTAAGAAATGAACAGTCAGGTGAAAAATACCCTATATATTAATATAGACCTTGCTTACCAGCTGCCTTGTGCAATGACCATTTGAAGTTATGATAGTGCTGAAAAAATAACTCTGCAATCAAGGCACACTTTTACAACCTTTACAGTTCGTCAGTCATGCGATCACCATTACAATCAGTATGCACTGTCCTGTGGCTGAATGATACTTTTTCTCATCCACTGTCCCTTACAGAGCAGAGAGATTGGAGAGGAAGGGATTACAAGAGAGTAAGCAGGCACACAATGACCAATACACATCAAAAACAAGCAGTCCCAAATGCACTACACAAATAGCCAGTGTATTCTCCACTGTCTGTCTGCTTACTCACCTGTAATTTCTCTCTGCTTGGAGGGGGAGAAGTGAAATAAACAGATCAGGAATAGGAGAGATTGCCTAAAAGTATTGCTTATTTTTTCTCTCTCTCTCCTTCCCTACTCTACTTGTTTAAGCAATTTATCTGGTTTGTGGGGGTGGAGAAAGTAAGTGATGTTATATATGTGTGTTGGTGCATATGTTTGGAACTTGGAAAGAATACTCTGCTTTCAAATAGTTTGCTATGAAAATATAGTTCTGTGCCTGTGTATCATGGGCTAATAATCAAGGTGGAATTTAATGGCCAAGGTGGAATTGTAATTTTCATTTTCTCTGGTCAAGAGCTGCAGTCTTTGCCAAGATCAGGCAATACAAACTTTGGAAGCATTCTTGAAAGTAATTTATGACTCTGGCCCTCAGACACTTTAGCACTTAATTTCCAAATAATCACCCTGAAGGAGGACTTAATTGTGAGCTGCTGCTACTGCTGCTGCTGCTGCTGTGAGATTCAAAAAATGCTAGTCCAGCATAGAAAATTATTTAAGGCTATTGGTCACAGTAGGAGGTTCAGAAGCACGTTTTCAAAACTTCTTCAAAACAATTTTGGGGGAGATTTTATATGATTGCCATAGCAGGGCTAGTTAATAATTTTATTGAATTATTTTGGAAACGCCCATCTCCCTCTCAGAGGGATTCCATGTGGTATACAATAAAACACTAAAATATAAGCACAGTATATAAAAGTTAAGATTTAAAAAGAAGCAAGAATGATAAAAAAACAATGTTACATTAATTAAAAGAATGGGGGTGCTCCCTTGTGATCCCCAGGCAAGAGCCATGATTTCACACCTTTTCAGAAAGCTGGGAGAGTGGGGGGCTTGCCTTACCTCTGGGAATACAACATTCCACTGGGGGGGCTCTTTTCCTGGACCCTGACATTCAGCATTGTTTAACTGACAGTGTCTGCAACATACCTTCCCTGCATGACTGGGTGGGACAGACTGATATAATGGGACAAAGACGGTTCTGTAAGTAGCCAAACCCCCTGCTTGTATAAGACTAATAATGAAATACTTGATTAACAAAACAGCCAAGATTTCTCTCCCTGACAAAAATAATAATAAAAATAAAACTCAGTCTCTCAGATGTGGTCAGTTTTCCCATTTTACTTTTTGTAAAACACACACACTTTGTTTATTTATTTCTTTGTTTGTTTATTGATAGCTAAGTAGACTTTCAAATTTGGTTGTAGCCTCTCATCATTTTTACTTTATAAAAATACTGTGTGGGGAAAAAAAATGAAACCATGTGGGGCAAGGAGCCATATGGGAAAAACAAAAGCATCTGCTAGTTTATGTTGCCTGTGCAAATACAAGATTTCAGTAACTTGATTCAATATAAGCTTGTTCATACCTAGGAAGCTGTAGGCAGTTTACAGAATCTGGATATTGCAGTGATCCGTTATTCTCCATTCCAAATACACTACAGTCCCTTGCAAAGTACTGCCAGTCTTCCCAACCAATTGAAGGTTGCTTTTTTCTTCGTATTCGGATTGCTTCAGGCTGAGGGCTGAAGAACTGGATTATAACATAAAACACCTGCAAATCAACAGCAAAATATGAATTGATTTGGAAGTCTTACATAAAATCAGAAATAAATCTTTAAGGTCATAAAGTCCAAACCTCTGCTCAATGTAAGATCTCCTAAAAGTATGTCTGATCTGACCTTTCACTCTGTGTTGTAGGACCTTCGGTGAAGGAGAAGTCAACATGTCACATGGCAGCCTGTTTCCACTACCAATTCATCCTGACATCTAGCCTAAAGCAACTTCCTTGTAATTTTAACTCACTGGTTCTGGTTCTGCTCCCCAGGTCAACAGGAAATAAATCCAGTCCCTCTTCTGTGTGACATACTTCCAGGTTTTTAAAGATTATGATCCTCTCCTCTCAGGTATCTTTTCTCTGAGCTAAACATACCCATTAAATGTTCCTCACAGGGCTCAATTTCCATAAGCCTCACCATTCAGTTAGCTCTTCTTGGTATCTCTTTTCTGAATTTTCTCTAATCAGTTATTGTTCTTTCTGAACAATAACAGTAACTTCACATTTGCACTTACTGCAAATGTTGACTTCACATTTATGCCTGTTGCATGCTGACTCTTTATTGTTCAACATTTCAATAAAAACTATTCAAGTCTTAATTACAAAAATATGAGATTTTTAAAAAAATAACTATTCAAACTTATAAAAATTGTAATAGATATTCTCAGATTTTTTTAATCCTTATTCCATTTAGAGAAAAAAAAAACAAATCCAAATACCAGAACTCCAAAGCCCTTTTTTGAGTGGGCAGGGGGTGGGGGGAGGAAATAATCCAATCTGACAGTGCAACTCGTTTAAATAAATGAGTCAAGCAAACCAAGAAAACATCCTGGATTTTTGTTTCATGTACATGAAAGTTAAGATAACATTTCTTATTTGTCTTTTACTTTCTTACTGAATTTATGTATGTCTTATTTATAGGAGAATTTTGTAAGTTTGGAAGATGTCATCAGTTCTGCAATTTTGTTAAATAAAGATACAGCAACACTAATGATAATGCAGTATGTCTTTTACTATTCTTGAAAAAAAAATATCCATAGCATTCAACTCAGGTAAACTGGATTCATGTGACTGATAGTAGACAATAGCACCAATAGAAGAACTTATGTAATTGTTTATGCTATTTTTGTTTACCAAACTGTGCTACAATCTCTGATATTAATGGGAAAATCAGATCTTTGACTATAGAAAGTGGAAATAAAGGACCATCACAAATGTTTTGTTGTTGTTATCATATGTACCAAACACAATAACATTATGTTATTCATAATGTATTCCTTAAACTATTTTATGGAAATGTTTTATAACCAGAAGTAGTTCTTCTGGAAAAGAAAAGATTACATCAAAAATCCTAGGCTAACATCGAAAAACTTTTCTATAGTTAACTACCAACAAAGGATCAAAGTGAAAGTAATACCAAAGCAGGAGTAATTCTACTCATATGTTCAGTGATCATAAGTGAACTCTAGTGCTCTATATTCTTGAGCATTTATTACACCCTATGCCAGGTATTCTCAACCTATGGTCCATGGCCCGGTACTGGTCCGTGGCCTCTTGGCTACAGGGCCCCGGGAATAGCTGGCAAGACCCCCCAACTCACAGTATGCACGGGGATGCTAGCACTGCAGCCAGTGTCACACAGACACCAGCAGCCCGTTTGTGCATGTGTGCGGGTGCCAGCACACGCGGCATGGGTGCGTGTGACCCATTTGCACATGTGCATGGGTGCCAGCATGCACCGTGGAGGCATGTGCCCCACTTGCCACTGTCATGCACACATCCATTTGCACATGCACATTTCCCTGCTGCTCCCTTTCCTTCTGGGCCGCCAAGCCGGAAAGGTTGGGGAGCTCTGCCCTATGCTATTACATTGTGCTCAGTCTACCCTCTTGCAGAACAAATGAGTCCTTATTATTAAAATAAAATAAATATTATCGTAAAATAATATTTCACAAGCCATAATGTTGTTGTTTACCTTGTTATACAAAGTAAAACGAAAAAGCCCAAAAGGAAGACAAGTTGCTATCCAATGGATTCCATAAGAAAAGCTAAATATTCAAGATTCTAAGTGCAAACTATTTTTTGACAAAGCAGTTCCCATTTCTGAAGCAAAGTATCCTAAGCAAGAGATTTCTTCGTCCAGCACAGAAGCCTCTTGTAGACTTTGGAATGGCTAACTGATGCTTCGAGATGATATGAAGATATATATTTTTTGTCAAAGCAAAAAGCACTGTTTTATTCACTGTTATAAATTGCAATGGTTCCAATATACATTTTTTTCTACCTTATCCATCATTACAAGATTTCTAAACTGTGTTTGGAAAAACCCAGAATTCTTTATATTTATCATACCACTTCAGTGAACCTGCAGACAGTTTTCCATGAATAATCGGTTGTTTACCAGTACCAATCTGCCATGCAACACTTAATAGCCATATGTCAAGCATCAGTGTTGCATCCCTTGTAATCCAAGTGTGCACACAAGAATTTCCCAAAATTGGGAGATAGGAATTCCTGAATATACAGGAAATCTTCAAAGAGCTAAAAGTGCTAAAAAAAAAATTCATTTAGAGTATCTAAAAACTATTTGAATTCCTGAAGTATTACATTTAAAGAATAGGAGACAAAAAACATGAAAAATGTATATGTTTGCCTTTTTGTGTCTGTATAATTTGACTCCTGGTGACTATGCAGACAAGTCCATGCAATTTTCTTGGTAATGTTTTTCAAAAGTGGTTTGCTATTACAGATAATCCTCAATTTACAATAATTCATTTAGTGACCATTCAAAGTTACAACAGCACTGAAAAAAATGATTGTTTTTCACACTTATGATGGTGGCAGCATTCCCATAGTCATGTGAACAAAATTCAGACACTTGGCAAATGTTTCATACTTATGACTCTTGCTGTGTCCCAAGGTCATGTGATCACCTTTTGCAACCTTCTGCCAAGCAAAATCAATGGGCAGCCTTCTGCCAAGCAAAATCACTTAACAACCATGTTACTAACTTAATAACTGCAGTGATTCATGTAACAACTGTGGCAAGAAAGGTCATAAAATGGGGCACAACTCACTTAACAAATGTCTCACTTAGCAACAGAAATTTTAGGCTCAATTGTGGTTATAAGTCAAGCACTATGTGTATTTTCTTCCTAGGCTGGCACAAAGTCTCCAGCTGGCTTTATTGATAAAGCAGGACTAAGACTCAGGGTGTTTGGTTCCTAGCCCAGTGATTTTAACTACTACACCAAACTGCTTGTCATGTGTTTATCTCCACTCAACAGAAACCAATGATACCAAAATAATTAACTCAGAATTTATTTTTCATTGATCCTTATTTCATTTGGAATATGCTTGAATGTTTTGTTAATGAAAACAGAAGATAAGAAAGGAGAACTTTAAACTCACCTGGAACTGTCCATTTTCTAAGTCAATGGTGATGGTTACTCCATGACGTAGATGTTCAGTGGTGCTAAATATAGATGAAATCCATGTAGTTCCAATATCATTATCATTGATATAGCTTAAAGGGTGAGCTTCAGGGTTTAGTCTGAGCACTCTGTCATTAGTTGTGTCGTCTGCACCATTAGGAATGCAATACCTCTGAACCAAAGGATGTACCCTTGGGTGACTTCCAGGACAGCGACATTCTGATTGAATACGAAGTTGAGGAAATTTTCCAGACCATATTTCAAAAATGTCTCTAGAATAATAGAAATAAATAAGAAATCAGTAAGGCACATCACAAAGAAATGAGCAAGGGTAATTTTTAAATGCCTAGATACACGATTATGCACAAATGTCCTATCCAAGGACTTGCAGACAAAACCACCAGACTGGTAGGCACAAAAGACACAGTGTTCTCAATTATGGCCCAGTTTTTACAAAAGGATTTTTCTAATGGAAGCTAATTGATCTCCATTCTGTTTTCAAACAGGCTTTAAAGAACTGCTTTTAACTGAAAAGCACAAGTAATCCTCAGTTAATGATAGTAATTGGGACCAGAGTTTTCTTTGTTAAGCAATGCGACCGTAAAACTCAATGTCATGTGACTGCAGCTCTTAGCAAAGGCAATGCGGGCACTCCCCATTGCTATCATTAAGTGAGGATTGCAGGTCGTTAAGCAAGTCCCAGGTGGCTTGGAGGCAGGCCAGAAGGTAGGTCAAGGTCCAGCATGTGGTGCAAGTGTGGTGGGGCCAGCTGCTGCCATACAGGGGAAGATGTGTAAGCAGCTTGTAAGGCATGATGTGTTCCTGATGCGGTGGCAGGCAGGGGAAAGTGCGAACAGCTTCCTGGAGCAACTTAAGACCTTCCCTGCCAGCTTCCCCATTGATTTTGCTTGTGGGAAGCCAGGAGTAAAGACGGCCAATGACAATAACATGACTGCAAGATTCTGCAACTATCATAGGGGTGAGACAGTTGCCAAGCATCCAGATTGTTATTGTGTAACCGCAGGAGCGCTATGATGGCTGGAACTTTGAGAACTAGTCATAAATCTCCTTTTTCAACACTGTCATAACTTTCATTGTCACTGAATGAGTGGGGTTAAGCATGGACTACCTGAAAATTCAACATTATTGTGCAAATAATCATTTTAAGTTTAGTTGTCCTTTATTGTACTTCTTGGTTTTCACTAAAAAAAAATAAGAGCTTAGGTTTATTGCTTATTAAGTTATTAATTTATTTATGCACTTTTTGGGACAGGTTTCACTATCTAAAGAGCAGTATGGACAAATTTAAACCATCAATATCCAAAATATATTAATACAGCCAGTTCTAACATGAATTTGTGGGTAAAAAGTTTATAAATAGGAAAGGAGATATCTTTTGCTACAAAATTGTTGCTATGAGTCACCAATTGCTGGATTTTGAAAAATTAATATTTGCAGTAATGCAATCCAACATGCCACACAAACAGTAATGGCACACTAAATAATCCTTTCAAAGGCATTCAGTCATTTATTTATTTTTTTATGCTGTGTGATCTTCAAAGCACCACACCAGAGTCTTATGGGAAGTGCTTTGTATGTGTCTTATAGATACAGATATATGTTTCATCTAATCTATTTCTCCTGCTTATAAAATGTAACATTTTTGACAGAAAAGGAAGGAGGGACTGCACAAAAGTTTTGAAGGCAAACATAGGCTTTCCATGTTCTACAACAGTTGAGCGTGTTTACAGTGTTTCAACGTGAATGTTTTACATGAGATTTAGGGAGATGTCATAAAGAAATCAGTTGTGCTTTAGGAAAATCTCACAACATATGGATATTATGTGATTGGCGTACAGGGGCTTTTGTTTGTTTGTTTAATTTCTTGCTTAATATCTTGAAAGTACAACTGCTTGAATCCATGCAGCCAATTAAAAGCCTTTTTTGTATTCAGATTGCATGAAGTTATAGTTACACATCCAATGACTTAAAAAAAAAAGCCCAAGAAACCATATTATCATAGTTACATCTTTTTTTTATCTTGATCACTGCATTTTTAAGATCTGTAAAATTGAGAAAGTACCTACCTGTTTGTAAGGGCCATTTGGTACAATCTGAAATCTTGCATCCTCCCGACAAATTGCTCTGAACCTGCAAAAATACATTATAAATAAATAATCCGGTTCCATCAACCAGAAAACAACTCTGTGCTGCTTGAGGAAATCTTAAATTCAACACACAGAGCTCTCTCTTGCACAATTACCTTTTCTGAATGAAACCATCTTGGTTCCGAACAAAACTATGGAGGGCAGTAACTTAATTCTTTTGATTAAAATGATTTATAATAACTTTATGGGAACATTTTGTACCTATCCCTTATCTGATTACAGAGGTGGCAGAAAAACTGGCTCATTAGACAGAAGTAATGAGCCAGTCCATGTGCCATCTCTAATTAGAGAAGAGATATACTGGAGACAACTGTAGGTATCACTTTACGTGATAAAGATTAAAGGTTTATTTTTAAGATTTCTTTCTGTCTTGCATAAGTGTTCTGTATCTGGTATTCAAAATAACAGTGCCAACCACAAGCACTTTGAAACGAGAAAACTTTCAAGTTTTGATGTATAGGAGCTCAGTGGTTTCTGAGAATAAATCAAACTTTCTTCAGGCCAGATGCAGATATATTTAGGCCTCGGCTCCAAATTACAGTTTGTTCTGGATCAGTGATACTCAGCCTTAATAAATCTGCAGAACCAATTCATCACCAAACAGAATTTCAGGGAGCTGCAAAATCACTGAAACCTTATATTGACAGCCATGGTCAGAAAATGGAGGAGGGGATCAATCTCAGCATCACCAAATATTCACTCAGGATTACTTCAATACATTGGCATTTCTGAGACATGTTTTTTTTTTCCTTACTCCTTTTCCTTAGCTTACTAAATGAAACTTTCCCAAAAGTTTTAATATTTGTTTTTTACTGGCAAAGGAACTTAAGTTTCTTATTGCAGAAACAGAATAAAAACAGTTTACAATCCAAACACTTGAAGTAAAAGAGGAATGATGGCCAAAATTAGATGGCCAAAATTAGTAAAATCACATATGTGACAATAGCAATCGCATTTAGACTTATAAATCACTTCATAGTGCTTTGCAGCCCTCTTTAAGCAGTTTACAGCATCAGCATACTGCATCCAACAATCTGGGTCCTCATTTTACTGATCTCAAAAGATGGAAGGCTGAGTCAATCTTAAACTGGTCAGAATTGAACACCTGGCTGCAATATTGCGATACCACATTCTAACCACTGCACCACCATGACAAGATTTTGTTTCTATAATCTATTATTTATCCTCTAAAAACTTGTAGTTCTAACCTAATCACAGGTAAGGAACATATTAGAATATTAGAAAAACAATTCACTTTTGGCTTTCCAACAATAACATCTTCACCCATGGAAGGATGGCAGGCTTGTTCTATTCACTCTTGTCCATCCCTTAAATCAGACATCAAGCAACTCTTCAAGTAGATTGATTGATAGTCTTGACCAAGCTTTTACTTTATCTTGGTGGAGAGAGATGAGTTACTGAATTACATTACCATGCTATTGATGGGTACTAAAAGGAAACTGAGGGTCAGTTTGGTGTAGTGGCTAGGGCATCAGGCTAGAAATCAGAAGACCATGAATTCTAGCTCTGCCTTGGGCATAAAGCCAGCTGGGTGACTTGGGACAATCACTTTCTCTCAGCCCTTGGAAGGAGGAAATGGCAAACCACTTCTAAAAACCCTTGCCAAGAAATCTTCAAGAATTAGACATGATTGAATGCAAGAAAAAAATGGGAAAGGTAAGTTTAGCCAATTATAGTTATATTAAAGTAACATTCTAAACAGAGTACTTGTACCAAGTGCAGTGAATAAAGTGCATGATTTTAAGTACAGTGAGTGACTATGATGACACTATTAAAAGGCTGCATGTTGCAGCATAATGACTTGAAAAAATTCTGACTGCAGAGTCCAGTTACATACATTTCTATCATTTGTCTATAGTAGCTTACAAAATAGACGGAATAATTTATTTATTTTTAAATCTCAGTATTGCTATAGTGAAAATTCTCCTTTTTTTCATCCAACAGATCATATTTTTTGCCCAATTTATCTATTTGAACAATTGCTTTTGCACAGGATGAGGTGCTCGGAATTGTCCTGGCTGATTACCTCCTTCCCAACTGTACTATCAGCTTGCCTTCAGGTAGTCAAAGCTAGGAAATGGTCATACATAGTAATTTGTTTAGGATTATTTTTAGCAACACTTCTAAATTATTGTTGCAGCCTCTGTTAAACAGAAGTAGAAAAGATAAATCAAGCATCTATATATCTAGAGAAAGATGTGAGGCAAAATAGATAATACTAAAACTAATAAGATCTTGTCTCATACACCAGCTTTAACAGTGGTTCAGAAGAAGAAAGTGTAGGAAATTGACATGTCAATACCAAGAGATAGTAGAATAGAAGACAAAGAATTGAGGCAGATAAAAAAGTATCAAGATCTGAAAAATAAAATAATGAAAAACTGTTATTACAAATTCTTTTATTTCAGCTTCATTTTTATTCTACCTCCTTTATCCAAGCTGCATTCATGTTGTATTTGAAGGCCAGCACCAGCTAAAGAACTGGCAGCTCTGATTTCACACTGTTGTCTACACTCTGGATAGGAAGACCATCAAAATAAAGACAACGAATCATGCCCTTCATCCACAGAGTGACATTGAGAGACTCTGCTTACCAAGGTGGGTGTGGAATATCTGCAAGAACTACTGGGATCACAAAATAGACAAAATCACAGAAAATGAAGAAGCTAAAAAGTGCTCTGGGATTTTAGATTTCAAAGAGACAATAAACATTCATATAACACCCAGAGGTAACAAATGTTGATAAGAAAGATAAAGAGCTGGATAGTGCACATTGCAGTATCTGGAAACAGCAGAATAGAAGAGAAAGAACTGGGGGGGATCACAAAAGACAAAAAAATCTGCAAATAGAAATAGAATAACTATGGCAAGTTTGCTTTGCAAGAAAGCAAAAAAAGTATCAATAGTAATAGGCTCCTTAGGTATAATCCCAAAACCTTTGGAGCACCACTTGGACACCATTGGCATTGACAAAATTACCATCAGTCAATTATAAAAGGCAGCTTTACTCGGAACAGCTTACATCCTGCAACTATACCTTTAATACCATCAAACATCAACATCTGCCTATCCCAGGTTTTTGGGAAGGGTTCAATAGATGGATAAAAGTGTGAAATCTAGTCTAAACATCTGGCTAACTGTGTGACGAACCATAATGATAATAGTGAGGTTGTTGAACATCACATTGCCATGCAATCTATTTTTTTAGCTATTATTATATGTCTGTCCATTCAAGAATTTCCATCAAAACCACTCACCGTTTAAATTTTGCCCAATTCTCCATACACCACCAACAGATGGATCTGCTATTAGCCCTGTGAGAATTCTGGAATCAAAGGCTGTATCGTCATCTTCCAAACCATTTATAAAGAAACTAATTCTGTTGTGATGAACCTATAAGTTGACATGTGCAAGAGAAAGTCTTGTAAAAAACAATAATCCTACAAGTTTCTGTCAAATTAGCTTGGAATATACCATGTTTCCCTGAAAATAAGATCCAATTGGAAAATAAGCCCTAGCATGATTTTTCAGGATGCTCGTAATATAAACCCTACTCCCAAAATAAGCCCCAGTTAAGATCATCAGCCAGATGGATGCATTTAGTACCGTATTTCCCTAAAAATAAGACTTAACCAGAAAATAAGCCCTGTTGCGTCTTTTGGAGCAGACCCTGTCTTATTTTCAGAGAAACACGGTACTGTACCAACCGTTTCAGTATAATCAAGCAAAGAACAGCAATTTGTATTTATTAATCATTTCCCATTCGAAAAAAATTAAATTCATTTATGAAAACAGAAATATGCTCAATAGCTAAATTAAGGAAGCCTCAAAAGTTCAAAATGGAATAAAATTAAAAAATATTTTTAATTCCAAGAATTTCACATATAATATTAATAACATTTAGCACTAGCGTAATGTGGTCATCTCTGTACCTATGGTATATCTATTGGTCTTTTGATGATCATTAAAAATCTATGAAACAATATTTATTTATTACATTTATATAGCCACACATCTCATTGAAAAGTGACTCTAGGCAGCAGACAATTAAAAAATAATCATAAAATCAAAATATTAAAACAAGTAGAATTAGCAAACATCAACAATATTATTAGTAACAAGTTGGCTGGGAAAAAGTATGTAAAAAGTAATGCAGCCATTTCATTAAATCATCATATCCTTGTGATCCCCAAGCCTGCTGGCACAACCATGCTTTCAAGGATTTCTGCAAGGATAACAAGGATGGGGCCAAAGGTGCTTTTTCAAGAGATAACTGGACTTTTTCTGTTTTTTTCCTTGAAGATGTTTTGCTTCTCATCCAAGAAGCTTCTTCAGTTCTGATTGAATGGTGGGGAATGGAAGAATTTATGATCCTTGCAGTCATCTGGTCATTAGCACTCTTTCTGAGAATCGTTGACGCCACTTGGAGGTTTATCTGTGCCCTCAGGATGTGGAGAGGTTCCCCTCAGAAGAAGCCAAAAGAAAATATATTGAAGATTATCCTGCAATATTCCTCTGCCTCCTATGAGTATAGGATGACTGTTGTTAAGCATTCCAGTCATACTTTATAACTTCATTGTTTAGTGATAGAGCAGGGGGTTGGACTAGATGATCTCCAAGGTCCCTTCGAACTTTATTTTAAAAAAGTCCAATTCCAATTGCTATTGTAAATCAAGGATTAGCTGTATATAAAGGGTACATTTTCACAATGGAAGTGATCTCCGTTCATAGATGTAATGACAAGTAGCACTCTCCTATAGTATCCCTATCTTCTATCATACGTTAAAGTCCATGAGTCAAACATAATTACAATTAGCATGATTAATAGCAGGATATTAGTTTCCCTTAAGCTACTTTTTTGCAGGTTTCAATTTAGGCAAAATCACAGATCATGGTGTATTGAAAGGAATTGTGAATAAACTTTCAATGGTGTGCACAAAGGAAACATTTAATTTGAAATAACTGAATTTTAGCCATAATTTACCAATTTCACTTTCTAGCACTTTGGGGGAAAATCATGGAGTAAAGGGCACATTAACTCTTAATAAATTGTTTAATCCAGTTTAATGTATAGCAATTTCCTTTAAAGTCATTTCAGAATTTAGAAAATACATAGTCTGATATACAACTTTAAAAAGACCTGATAAACAGGAAGACACTTGAAATTGCAACATCTGCATTTTCTCTTATATTCTGTAACTATCTATTTCTTTATTTATTCAGTGCTTCTGATTTTTTCTAGACCAGTTTTTTTACTGCAGAACAAGCAAAACAATGAACACATTTCTTCCCATGAAGATAGTAACCTTTTGAACTAATGTTGATACACAGCAGTCGGATTCTACCTGTCTGTGGTGTTCATCAGATGATGTGTGTTGTAGCTCAGTTGTGTTAGCCATATTTGGCTATGCAATGTAAAGGATCTAAATGGGAATAAAATATTTTCCAACTAATAATATAGATATGAAAAGTCTGACAACTAATTTTTGCCCCATACTTGCTAGCTAATGCTTTTGTGAGTTTACAACCAAGCTTGACTCTCCAACTCCACTAATTCATTTTACCAAACCTCCCGAGATTCCCACGTTCTCCCTGAAGATTAGCTACATGTTTTTCTTCTCAGCAATGTTGTTCATTTTTCATTTTAGAATTTTAATCCTAAATTTTGGGTACTTTACTTTTCCAGTTACTGTGTTCCATGAATCTCTTTCAAACTTCTTTTTTGCTACAAGAAAATCCATCTTATATCCAAATTCACTTCCAGGAAAGCCCTGTAATGGTTTCAATCTGGTATAACATTATTTACCTAATTTGGGATTGAGGTGTGTTTCATGCAGGAAGTGTAGTGAGATTATTCACAAATATGATATTGACATGGTGCGTAATATGAAAAGATAAGTGCTGTTTTAATTAAACAAATAAAGAATGATACTGTTTAGTATACCATGCTAACAGTTCCTAGATCTCTCTAACCTAATCTGAGCTCTATTGTTAACAAACAATGTGTTAATAGCCAGGCCCCAATTTTTATGTAAATCGGGGAGAGAAAGGGGAAATTAATGAAAAGAGCAACTGCACATTTCATGCCTCAAGGGAAGAAAACATAGCATATCCCACGCAACTTTCTACATTATCGGAACCAGTTATAGTGAAAAGATTAGTTGAATATCATAAAATTACTGCTGAAAAACTTTAGATGATTCAGTGATAAAAGCAATTCCAGAGACACCATCACTCTTATAAAGTTGCCCATGGTGCCTACAAAAATCTTCCTTTAAATTGAGTTGACTCCAGGAGATAACACTGATTGGCAACATATATAAGTGATTTACTACTGCCATCTTCTGGGATGTGTTCTGACTTCCCATGTAGGCTACAAGCTGTATTCCCTGGTGGCTTCCGATCCAAGTACAGACTAGATCTGATCCTACTTTGCTTTTGTTAGATAAGCCAAATTCAGCTAAGTGCTACCAATGATGTCAACGCTGCTAATATTGGATATTATTGCTTTGACACTAGACCTAAATTCAAGATAACTACTGTTTCCCTTCCTCTTGTTTTCTATTTCATATTATACTGTAAGCTTTTCTAGGCAGTTTTATCCTTTTGCTTCTGGTAATGTATTGTTCATTAAAACGCTAGTGTTGAGTGTGTATAATGTTCTCCCTCTCTATGTATATGTGTATATGTATATGTAGATATATATATATATTCATACATACATACATACACACACATATATTCATACATACATATTTCAATACACATTATTCTCCATATTAGCAAACAATATTCACATGCTGCTTTCCACAGCTGATTACTCAATATTTACTCTAGATGTACAATAAATGTGATTCTTCATTCACATTCTGAAGCTTACCAAGAGGCTACTGGACAAGCTGGATGTATCTTTTGACATGCACCATGATTAAAGCTGACCTGGGCAACAGTTTGAATGCAGCGATATATTCCTACATGCTAATGGATCATTTTGACTGTTTTAATAACTCTTGAAAAACAATCACATGTAATAAACCTTTTGTCCTTTGCTGATGCACAGCTTGTTTTAAGGAAGAAGGTGGAGGTTTTAAAGAGAGATTTTGCTATGGCTGTTGTTTCTACTGTTGCTCCTGCCACTTTGTAGAAATCTATTTCCATTTTACATAAAGAAGTACTCGTGAGTTTAAAGGGAAGACTTGTCTTTCCAAATAGATGCTGAGAAAAGCTAGAGTACTTTAATCTGCCTTGATATCCACTCTAATCAAATCAAATGAGACTGGAATAATTGTATCCTAGAAAACTGAGTGTGTGAGAAGAAACAAAAAGGTTATGAAAAGGCAGAATAATTCAGTGCAAAAGCAAAAGTGAAGCTTTGCAAAATTCATTTGGAAAATCAGCACATAAGTGTTCAAAGTGCCATTCTAATGTCAATACAGCCACATACGTTTTTGACCAATATAAAAAGCTACAGTTATCTATAAATTAAGCCAAAATTGTTGTCATTAATGATTCAGGCAGCTTATGCTGTTCTAAAATTTTAAGGAAGGAACTGTGAAATGAATAGAAATAGATTTGAAATGATTTCATTTCAACCCTGAGCTACAAATATTCTCCTTCATTGGTAGAAATAGATTTTTATTATGAAAACTCACTTTCACTGAATAAATAGAAAATATAGGTCCTTGGGTTTATTCTTTTTATTTCCAGAAGTAGTCAGTATTGTATGGGTTTGAGAAAATATGAATTCATTGTCTTTCCAGTGAAAAATCTGAAGAGTATTATCATGACTAGCAGCATAATTTGGTTTTCGCATACAAAAATGAGAGAACATTATCCAATATTATTCATTAGCTTTATCCATTAACACAGTTTCTTAAAATGTGGTCCTAAGACTCCTGTGGGATCCCAAGATCCTTTCAGGGGTCCTCAAAATCAACATTATTTGTCCAATATTTACTTACACACACACAAACACACACACACACACACAGAGAGAGAGAGAGAGAGAGAGAGAGAGAGAGAGAGAGAGAGAGAGAGAGAGAGAGAGAGAGAGTACAAAGCAAAACTAAATAAAATGTCTTTGTGGATCAAAGTGGGTGTCGCTTGCCATGTTTTCCTTTTTTCCACCTCAAGATTTTTTTATAGCCTGTTACTGTCTTTTGCTGTTTGACTGTTATCATTATAAAAGATACAGGCTTTTCTACTTTGTTATTTGTAGCATTATCTCATGTTTTACAACATCTTTGCACACAACACGCAGGCAACATGAAATACAACTAGTGGAAAGTTCTCAGTGGTATTAATGCATAAAAAAGAATGTGGTTCCATCTTCACTGTCTTTACCCAGCCAAAAGCTGATGAACAGCCAATTTTCCTTTATCACATTAGCACAG